TGGTACCAGGTATGCGACAACTGAATCAGAGTGACCTCTATTAGAAGGAAGATGCATTGAATGAATAGGTTACTAGTTTATTAATAGAATTCTTTGCTCATAAAGTTCAACAGGTGTAATTACCGATATGTCCGTTGATAGAATTGTTTATGAGAAGTCACGTGATAACGACTTTTATTTCAAACGAGCAAAGAACAACTTGACGTTTTACCTTCTTTCGATTGATCGATTCACCTTTAGAAAATTTTGGAAGCTCGAGTTTTTCAATGTTGATTCGGTAGGTAGACTGAAACGAGTAAACACGTTTATTTACTGGAATATCGAATACGAAAAGAAGTGAAAAAGTAGACGTTTCGATTAGAACGCATAAATACGCTGACCATGGATTTAAAAAAGGGGAAGAAAAAATCATCGGCGTTACCAATACACACATGGGTATGTGATTACTTTCATCTTACGGAAGATCAAATACAAGGCATTCAATATAATCATCAGGAACAACTTATACAGGGTGTCCGGAAATTATGCGCAGAAAATCAAGGGGGTGATTCTGCATGAGAAAACATGAAATTCATTCCATATACCCGTGGGCCCGGAAATGCATAGTTTTCAAGATACAGTGTGTTGAACGGTTTTTTATGAATATCTCAAATATCCTCCCACCTAGTCTCTTGGAATTTGGCAATGATATTCTTTGTCATAAAAAGCTGATTTGCCCATAATTTAATTGGGATTGTGAGATCCAATGGCTTCCGGGAGCACCCTACGAATATTATTGTGAATAAAATGTGCGCCACTGATTTTTTGAAATTCTGCATATTTATATCCTATCGACCAACTAAATATACAACATTAGGGTCTCATGAAATGTTTGGATATTATGCTTCGTTTTCGTGGACAAAAATAAATTCCAATTCATTGTATTAACTTGTGCACATCATTCCTTCAAAAACAGGGGTAAAAATAAATGTGTGATCCATGTCCATAGATATAGAATAAGAATGAAGATTCATTTTCTTTCAATATTTTATAATACGTGTTTGACACACTTTGTATTATTGAAAACTACTCCTTCCTGGACCGAGAATACATAGTTCTCAATATACAGAGTGTAGCGTGCGTTAAACATGTATCATGAGATATTAGAAAAAAATTAATCTTCATTCTTATTCTAATAAATGCAGGCATGAAAGCAAACGCACTTCTAATAAAAAACCGATTCAATTCGTGGAGTCCAGTCATGATGAAAATCACATATAAATCCTCACAGAATAGAATGTTTGAAAACACAAATAAAAAAGATATGAACCCATACTTTTACAAGGCACAAGAAACAATAAAAAGCATGAAAATTGTCAAAAACAATGAAATATACACAAAAGAACTGTATATGAAACTCACAGAAGCTATCATGAAGAAACCAAACATAGAAATCAAGAACCCTAATGTTACATGGCCTGAGATCTGGAAATGCCTCAGAATACGAATAATACCAACACAATGGAAATCTTAAGTTTACAAAGCGGTGAAAGAAGTGTATAACACGAGAGGAAAACTAAAAAAACACGAGTTGAGTGACAGTACCAAATGTCAAAAATGTAACTACAACCCAAATAACAAAGGCTACAAAATTAGAAACTGCTGCGGAATGAAAAATATTTGGTGATGGGTAGTTGAATTTATGGAAACAAAATTTAACGTGAAACTTAAAGTCAAGAATACGGCGAGTGGAATTTTAGAATTTCAGGCGCCAAAAAGGGAAGATAATGACGTCTGCAAGTGGTTAGTTAGTGGACTCATATATTATAGTTAGCAATTTAGATTGGTTCAAAGATACGTTGAGGAAGAGTAGATGGAAGTTGATTGTGAGAGGTGAAATATTTATGGAGAAAATGTTTTTCATATAAGTAAGAAAAGAGAATATGGTTACGAATGGGAAAAGAGGAGCACAGTTAGTAATAAAGGAGAGTACACTAAGAGAAAACTTGAGTTATCATAATTGGAAATCTGATAACCGTTATTACGATATCTGCAATAAATAGGGGACAGATGTGTTCATTTGCTACCATAGATGAAGTGAATTTTCAGGTGACTTGTAGTTATGGCAGCTTATTGAATTTGCAAACTTGTATAAAAACACCGCTGCTGAATAATTACTACTTGTGGTTATTAGACTATCGACATAAAACAGCATGTTTTTATTACTGGCACATCTTGAGGTAACGCAGTAATACGTCTCATTTTATTATAGTTATCTGATATCTGCATGAAACCTGACATTTTGACATGCTATTGTAATATAGCTCATTTTCAACAGTTATCCCAATATTTTTATACTCTAGTATATTCATCAAACAGTGGTAATAAGGTTATCTAATCAACATTATTCGATGGTATGCATTATGAAACCGTGCTTTGAATTACTGCAATGTAAATAAATATCCTATCCACACTATCACTTTTCATGATCCAAAGTTATTGTTTACAAAAAAACAAAAAAATACGTTTAGTCTCTGAATTGAAATATGTGGGTATCTGTGGGAGTTTTTTGTCATTACTCATTGATTTTTTCGGAGAAATATCATATATATATGCATTACTGAAGAATTTATTAAGAAATGAGAAGTTGAATACTTATATTTACCCTTCCTTCGGAGTTATGATGAGAATTGTCAATAAAACTTCCCTCACAGAAACCCAGATATTTTGATTCAAAATCTCATCGATCATTTTGTTTTTGAAATAAACCAATTTTAGGCCGTGAAAAGTGGGTATGGAGAATACTTTTTTCATTGCAATAATGCAATGCACGGTGTATTCCACAGATCGGTTCACAGCCAGCACTAAAACAAAACTTTGCTACATCACAGACATTCACCTACAAGACACGTATCGATTCGGACGATCGAAACCATTGAACAATAATTGAACACGGGCACCCATGACCGAGAAGAGCAGTGAAATGAACGCGATCTGTATCTTTGTCAGCCCCAATACTAATGAAACACTAGAGCGAAATGAGCCGAATTACGATTGTCGAATGATTGCCTAATAACCATCATACATATGAATTGCTAGAGTTATTCGTCAACGTACAATGCATTCAAAGAAATGATCCTTCCTTACTATAATACAGTAATCTCAATCACCTGTGCCCAATCAGGATGAATCGCAACCACGCAGGCACTACTTTGCTGTTTCTGATTGGTCCGTAAAAGTCGCCTATTGGTAATTCATGGTCATCTGAATTGTTGCTGGTAGCACACCATAAGAACAATCAAAACAAAGATCCTTTCTTGACAGTTTCTTGTTCTTTGTTCTGAGAATATATGTTATTTTGGAAAACGTCAAAACGTGATACTAGTAAAAGTTTTGTTTCTGACAATTTGCTTGGAATGTGACGATGCATTTCTCAAACATTGAGCTGAATGATATGGTTCTTATGTCGGGTCGTTATTGTGCGGGGCCCATGAGACTCCTCGAAGGACACGAAATTGTAGCGATGCAAGGAGGTGGAAGGAAGGGTCTAAAGGATTTTTCAGTAAAAGAACTTCCAACCGTGAGGTGTTAAGTTATACGCTATTCGAGCTTATGTGTAGAAATCTTGGGTGAGTCCATTTTAAAGTTTTTGTATTATCTTTCTGAAATTCAAGACCAGGGTTAACTTCTTTCCCATGTACATTTTCTCGATTATACATTTTATTTAATATCTACAAATTTTCATGTAGAGTGGCAACGTCGCTTCGTTCATCACGGTCGACTGCGGATCGCAAACGATAGTTGTGACAGAAGTAGAAATCTGGGCGGAAAAAGGGTATTTTGCCCCAAATCTATTTTGATCCTAATAATATTTTTAATAGTGCTATTCGGTAGTATACCTCAAGCTTTCTCAGTGTTTAAAATATATGCATTTATTTTAAAATCAGCTTGTATAATACGATATAACTTCAAACACATTACGATCTCACAAACTCACTGAAGATTGTGGACAGGAGTACCACGCGTAACTTCGGTGTTTGTGGTTCACTTCACCTCAATTATAGATAGATCACTACGTTGTTATAATATCTGATCAATGTACCTACATTGATGAAATAAACGTCTGGTGCGCTCACTCTTCATTTGTTTTGTCAGACTGGTTCTTGATATAAACAATTGAATTTCTGATCATCATCAGTTCTACCAACCTTGATACGGCTAAATCGCATAATATATTCCCTATCTTCATTGGTCACAATAGAGCAATGTCAATGACGTCATATGACGTAAAATTGTCGGCAATTGAACAGCTGATGGGGGGACAGGCATACACATTTTCCATAAGAGTACATGTTAATTTTCTTGCACATTTCCCACTAAAATACAATACCTGGAGCATTTATTTATTGACATGTATGTTGATTCATTCATCATGAATGCTGTGAGAAAAGTGAATGAGTCCAAAAAAGAGTTCAAATTGGTTTATTTGTCAATTTAAAATTACTGGATTCACTTGAGTTCAGCTCTAATATACCAAATATACCTCGTAATATACCTCAATAGATACTCATTTTGGAAGAAAATGAGCACATTCTTCTCGCATAATATCTACAAGTTCAACAAAATCATCGATGGGTCAGTAATAATAAAATCAAAATTCACACACCCCTTTGTATGTCCCCCGATCAGCTGATAAAAACGACGAGTGCGCCATGTTGTGACGTCAGCTGACATTGCTCTATTCGGTCACAATTGTCACATTGAAGCCTGTAATTTTGGTGCGGCACCATACTAAACTTAGCGAGATTCACCCACGCCATGTTATGTTTATCGAAGTAGGCAAAAATCAAGGAATTGTAGAACAAGAAAGGATTGGAGTGCGTACACCAGAGGTTTATTTCATCAATGTACCTACCTTCTGTTGCTGTCAAACTTTTTTCTTATTCTTTTTTGTAATATTTAATTAACAGGAGGTAGTACCTACCATTTCACAAATTTCATAACAATTTAAATCGCCAAACATGAGTGACAAAGGTCCAAGATTTCGATTTTCTGAAGATTTCGATTTACATCTGGCCAGAGAAGTGTATGGACAAAACCCTTATGAGGATCCCAGAAGATGGGGAACAATTCAGATTAATATGTTGCAAATCACTGGGCGGAATGTAAGCATTCGCACTTTCAGGGACCGAATCCAAAAGTTGGTAAAAAAATATTTGGCCAAGTCCACAGATTTGAAAGGAAAGTAAGTACTATTTTGCCATTCCATTTCCAAAAGAAAACGTTTTCTTCAATCTATTCAGTAAATCTATTGTTTACTTTATGCCAGTGTTGTGCCTTTATAATGATATTCATACTTTTAGGTCAGGGATAGAAATAAACCAAACTGAAATGGATGACTTACTTCAACAAATATCTGAAATTATGTCAGAGTTTAAGAAGAACAAATTATCCAGCTCAAGTTCTGCTCCAGCCAGGTCATCATATCTCAGGATATGATGCTCGTGAAGAGGCATGCAGTAGTAACACCCCTGATGGTAATTCTTCGTTTCTGATCATACTATTTAGTTGAAACCATTTGTGGAAAATGAAACTGAAAGTTTATCAAATACCTTTTTCTATTGTATCTAGAGAGCAATAATAATAGGCAATATCCCAATCATACATACTTTCCTATTTTAGATGAATTTGAGCTACATAGGGGTTATTTGGTGGAGAAAGAAAATAACAACATGCCAGAAAATGATTATGCCTATGTTGATTTCAATGAGGGACCAGAAGTTGCCAGTAACATTGATATTGGAAGTGGAGGAGCATCATCAATTATTGAAGAAACCAGTCTTAATACCCCTCAAAAAAATAAGACCAACATGGATAAGCCTTCAAAAAAACATGTTTCTCAAGCAAATATATTAAGTATGTTGTTGTCTCAAATGAAAACTATGAAGCCTCCATTATTCTTTTGAAAATATATTAAAATAAGGAGATACAATGTTTAGTGCAGAAATATTCAAATGTAACATTCCTAACTCAAGAAGCTACTTTTTTGTTTAAGCACCAGCTCGTAAAAGATCAGCTGTGAATGCAAGACAGAGTACTGTGCAGTATTTAGAAAAAAAGAATGAGAAAATTAATGAAATCAGATTGAAAGAGGTAGCTCTCCAAGAACGAAAACAACTCCTAGAAGAAGATAAGTGGGAAATGGAAAAACAGGAAAGATTGAAAAGGTTAGAACTAGAAGAGAGAAGGTTGAAAATGGATGAGAAAAGACTCAAGATTGAGCTGGATTTGTTTTCCAATCAACAAGAGCTTATTAAAATGTTATTTACCAAAAAAGATAAATAGATTTCATAGACATAAGAGTGTTGTACAATCATGAGTTATCACTGTTTAGGTATTGTATTATTTGGATTAGATATATAGGTAGTATTAATATTTGCAAGGAAGTAAATAAACAGAGTCTGAGTATTCAACTAGTTATAATCAAGGATGGATTGTGATATATTTGAGCCAAAGTCTGAATTTTACAATTATGGAGTGATAAATGGACTTCCTTAAAAAAAGGATAAACTGTGTACCTACCTATTTAGTGATATATGATATATAAATATTTTTAATGTAATATAATATCATTCTTAGGAAAGTTGGAACGTTTTCTTCTTGCATTTTTCATTAAATAAAATTATGTTACAAAAGGCATTTTAAAAGTGTTTTATTTAAATATGAATTTGAAAAAATATAAATAGACACTTTACATTGAAAGTCAATTTCCCAAATAAACCTCAAGCAGAGGAGGATCAACATTGAAATATGATGATTGCTGGCTTCCATAAAGACAGGAATGGCAGTTGGTTAAAAGCATTGCAACAATGTACATAGTACCTACATCTTGCAATAACAATTTTTGATTCTTTTTGAAGTCTACAAAAGCAAACTCTCTTAATATTTTGCCAAAACCCCATTCTACTGACACTCGTAATGAACTCATAATGGTATTGAAGTGCTGACGATGAGGATTTCCTGCAATTTGGTGTTGACTGAAAGGTCTGATCAAAAGTGCTCTCAGGCCATATCCCTGGTCCCCATATATCACATATTGCCTCTCTCCAAATACAGTAAACTGCTCTAGTTCTTCATACAACCTGGACTCTCTAAATATACCTGCATCATGGCGATGCCCAGGGTATGCTCCTTTAAGGCTTACAACTATGCCATCAGGACATAAGACTGATTGATATTTGACACAGTGAGTCTTTTTATAGCCCGAATAATATAGCTGCTGATGTACAGTTGGTCTACATATGGTCCTTACTGTTCCATCTATAAATGCCCACACATTATTCATAGGGCACCCTTTCTCAACCAATGCCTGAAAGAAGTTTTTGTTAAATCTCTTCTGAATATAAGTTCCTACTGGGACTACTAGATTTACCTCTGAATATTGCTGCAATTTGTTTTCATCAAGCCATGGTAGATTACCAAGGTTTTGAAGCAAATGGCCTTTGTTAACCATTATTGTGTCCATTACTAGAGTAATAATGCTGGAGAGGGCTCTGTAGGAGTATCCAAACATACTTTCTAAGTCTGTGAGTCTATTTGGATAAGCCAACCTACGTAACAACACACACAAAGCAGTGACACCTAAAACAAAGTATTTTTAGGTACCAACACCAGCATATTCAAAATAACATCAAAACTAACCATTAAGTGTGATATGGTCCTCCGTGGTAACCCATTCTGGTAAGCCTAATGAGATTGCAAGCCTTGGAATATCTTCTTTTGCAAATCTAAAGGAAGACTTCGCCTCAAGATTTGATATCTCCTGTAGATTAAAGCGTCCATAAAGCTCAGCTCTATTTCCCAAATTTTCATTGAATACATGTAACAGTATTGCATCATCAATATCATCATCATCGGAATCTAGTACAGCAGCATCTAGGATATCATCCATCCTGAAAAAAAAAAGATAACTATTTTTGCGAAACCCTAAAACAACAGCGCGTTTTCTTTTCTTACCTGGATCCTTATTCGATTTTTTTCTTGAAAATTCGAAAATACAAACTCCAAAAATTGATAAAATCAGGATAAAACAAAAAAATAAATTTTTAGGTTAAGTATGAGTATTTGCTGTCAAATGACAAATATATTGCAATTCGTTACTCTTCGGCCCCGCTCGGTCCAGGTTTCGGTTAACGTACGTCATTAAATTCACGTGCCGTAAAATAACGCAAGTCTACGTATAACGTAGAGTAGATTGGAAGGAACGTGAGAAATGGTAAACTGCGCATGCTCAGTCTTGGAATCGTACGTTTACGTTCACGTACAAGCCGTCACTTCAACTCTCTATTATCATCATTATTATATCCAGATTTGGCTTTGGAAGTTGTACCTACATACACTTCATTTTTGATGATTTCCTCCTTCTTACTCTTTCCTGTAAAATATATAGGGTTTCTCATTGTGTCAATTATCATTTTGAATTCTCTTTTCATATCCTTGTAAGTGGCTCCATTGTGGGGAGTGATTTTTTTTGTAATTACATTCAGCAAATATATATTCCTTGTGTCAATTATTGCACAAATATTATCTTCTGTTATTTTCTCATAATTGCTCTTTCAAGAAAACTACTGAAGCCTGGTAATCGAATTATTCGGACGCCATCCTGAAATGGTCGCGTCTCTACTACGCATGATCCAATTCGCCGTTCGAGGCACATTGGGTGACAATTACATATTCAAGATAGCCGGCAAGGTTCGCCGTTACTAGCTCCGGTTAAGAAAGACTGTAAACACTGTTAGAAATCAGTGAATAATTATGTAAAGTGCAAAAAGTGCAATAGACTATTTAATTCTAGTAGTATAACAATCTGTGCAAGGAGAAAACGCGTCATGTCATCATGAGTTGTATTGTGAAGAACCAGATGAACCAGAAGTGACAAGTGATTCCATAATTCAATTGGAAAATAGGCTGCTGAAGCAGTTGCTGAAGGAGGTCGAATCTAAAAACGAAGTCCTTGATGAAAACTGATTATTATTGAAGGGAAAAGTAAGAGTTTTGGATGAGAAACTCAAACGGCATGAAGAAATGGAAGCAGATCGCATAAGAAGCAGATTAGATATTCAAGGTCAGCAACATAGTACATCAATAATTTCAATAACAAACAAAGACGCAAAATGTTCAAAACGTGACAGCGACAGCACAAATAACAAAAAATCTATTGAAATCACTGCCAGCAGTCAATCGTCAACTATCGCCAATGTCAAAAACACTGTATATGTCAATGCCAATCAGCAAAAGTCACAAAAATTACGAAAATGTAAACAAGAATCAAGTGGATGAACAACAGTTGAATCGTGCTACGCAATAACAGACAACAAAATGAGGGAAATGATAGAGCTTGGCCAGCAAGGTTCTAATAACACCAAAGAAACCGAAGAGGGCTGGCAAAAAGTGAAAACAAGAACGCGCAAGTTCGTTGTCGGACTTGATGAGGATGTTGCGGGTGTACGAGCTGAACCCAAACTGCATTTTACCAGACTACAACCTCATACTAAACCAGAAGATCCGGTGAATCTACTAAAACCTAGATTTTCTGAGGTCAAGTGTGAAATACACCCTTCAAGATTTCCAGATTCCTACACATATATGAAAGTGACAATGAGTCAAGACAATTTTAAGAGGCATGAAAATGAGAGACATAGCCTAATAGAGCCCTGATCTCTCAGTTTTTCATGAAGAAGAGGGTACCACCTACAGCATGAACACAGGAGAATCCTCTCTATCAACAGGAGAAAGGCTTGACAGAAAAAAGAAGATAACAAAATCAAACAAAAAATCCAATCTTTTTCTCAGAAAATAATTATGATATTTTAGTGAAACATCCCAGGTAGCAGAGTGACGTCCAATTGACGTCATTTTTTGGTCATAAAATGACGAAGTGGACGTCCAAAAATGACGTCTGAGAGACCCTATAATGACGTCAAAATGTCACAGCCATATGACGTCATACTTAGACGTCATAATGACGTCGCAGAATGACCAATAAAGGACGAAATAAAAAAAATTAGGAGGTTTATACATATACGGTATTATTGGTACATGATAATACACCACAAACCTTTGATGACATTCATTTTGTAACTATACGTTGTGGTAACTTGGTTGATGGTCCTCCCGGCCAGTCCTGTTGAATCCTAGCGCTATCGCTACTACCTATGAATCTCTATATGAGAATATCGTTAGCTACTCGTATTTGTACCTAAAATTATGTAGCGAGCGTCGGCGAGATGTAAGCTAATAAACTTATTTTTAGCTAAACTATCCATTTCTGAAAAATCCTCTGCAGCAGGTCGATTTTATTTCCGATTTGCCACATTTGAAAGTAAGAATCATATATATACAGTGTGATCCACGTTTAAGTTAAGACGTCCGCGGCAATTTTTTCAATTGGAAACAATAATAATAACCTATATAAGATACATTCAATTTTTGAAATATTCATGGAAATATGAATTTAAAAATATATCACACATAGGGTTTGTATACAGTGTGTCCGTTGAATTGAGTCATCTCGCGTGAAGAATATAAAGTAGCCATGCAATCAATGTACTATTATAACCATACCATTCCTTGCTGAGGAATCTCCCAAAATAGGTCGATTTTTATTTTAAATTACCAACAATATTGAGAAAAAATTGAATATACAGGGTGATTCAAGTTTGAGTTACAACGTCCACGACCATTTTTTCAAAGGAACACCCTATAAATTTATTCGATTTTTGGAGTCTCTATTTAAAGCTGTATTCAAAAATATATGAGTCTGTATACAGTGCGTTCGTTGAATTAAGTTCTTTTGCGAAGTTGCGAATAAATTTGTTGAAAATTAAAAAAACATTTTTTTTTTTAGAGAATAATGCTCGAAGCCGTAGAATTTTATTTTCATTCAAGCTTTATCTCATATTAAATCAATATATACAGAATGATTCGTGTAGGAGAAATTACGTCATCTATATATTTTAATGGCGTTCCAATTTTACGAGAGAACTGAATTTAACGAATGCCCTGTATACAAATCCTTTGTGCGATATACATTTGATTACGAAAATTCAATAATATATATCCGTTTGAAAAATGTGTCGCGTACGTCATAATACAAACGTGTATCATCCTGTATATTTGATGATTCCTCCGTATAAATGACGAATTAGAAATAAAAGCCTCTCCTGTTTTCTCAGAAATATATAAGATAGATAGATATTGGATAATAATGAATTTATCCACTACTTCACGAGAGCATCTAATTTATTGGACGCACTTACCTATACAATCCACATGATTGTGTTAAACATTTTCGAATTCCGCTTCCCATGGATATTCCAAAGATTGAGTAATATATATATAAGGTGCTCTATTCAAAAAAATTGTCGTTATGGTCATAACTCAAACGTGGATCATCATGTATGTATATTCAATTTTCCTCATAAATATATGGCAAATTGAAAATGAAAATCGACCGTTTTCAGCAGATTCCTCAAAAATGCATAATTTGGCTGAAAATAAATTTGTTTATCAGTACTCACGAAAACACTCTATATACAAACACAAATTCAGTACGTACAATTAACAAACGATGAAAAAGTAAGAAAGCGACTGATTTTTCTTATTTGGTCGAATATACGACTTTGTAGGGACGTCATTAACCCATTAGTGCATGAAGTTACTTTTTTTCAAATCTCTATATTCTGAAGATGTTTACTCATTCAAATATACCCAAAGAATGATAACTCATGAGGAATAATTTTTTTTCACAACAGATTTTTTTTATATGACACGTCCATTTTAATGGACTCTATGCAAATTGGTTCATTGATGAAAGTGATCAGTAGGGAATTTCAGTATTCATTTTTATTCAAGTACATATCCAGAACATGAAAAACTCAATAATATCAATCACAATATTATCAATAATAATAATAATGATAATAATAATGAAAATTATACATCATGCATGATGACTTGATATACATTTTGAAGCATCTCTCAGATGCAGTCCTATTTTACATATAAAATTGCAATTTTGTACACTCTACTGAATGGAATTCAGCTGATGGGTATATGGAAATGCATCATGTCAAGAAATTATTTGGGATGATACTTCCAGACCTTTTTTCGGTGCTCCTCACACGATCCAGTGGAAGGAAATGTGAACCCGTTGAAGAAAAAGAGGAGTCGAACGAGTGGATGGAGTCGTGTCTATAGTTGACGTGCTGCAGTATAACGTACAATCATTTGATGCTATAATATTTCTTTTCATAATGCAAAGATGTATATTATTTTCAATTTCATCAAAATCAGGATCAGAACAACGAAAGTCGCAGGGCTGTTTGATAATTCCTTTAGAAATATGATTTATTATGGATTCGCAGTTTCTAAATTCGAATAACTGCATTTCTGCCAACTTTTCTTCTGAAGGCAATATTATATATGATTATCTGTTGGTTGATCGATATCTGAGCCATTTTCCATATGTCTAAGAGGTGTTGCAAGAGTGATCTACAAAAAAATCTTGATGACCGATATGCATAGAGTCCATTATAATGGACACAACACAAAAGCAATATTTTGAGTGTCTTACAAAAAAAATAATTATTCGAATTACCTTATAGATTCATAAACACATGCATATAATGAGATCTTGAGGGATAGGAAATTCTGAAATTCATTATACTCCGTTATAATAAATACTTACCCTCCTTGTCGGGTGCAATACAAATTGTTATCCATTTGATCACGTGCAGAATATTGTCGAGATACAAATTCATGAAATAGAAGCGATAGCTGTTTGTTGTTGAACTACACTTATAGTTCTGGCGCATGAAACATCTAATTCCTGCATGATTGACGTCACAAAAAATTAGACAATGGGCGTCCATTATAAGACACATTATGCACTAATGGGTTAAGACGTCCAATATTGAACGGCAATAAGACGTCATGAAATATGACGTCATTTTTAGGTCCCTCTGGAGTCGAGGACGTCATTGACCAATAATGACCTAAAAAAGACGTCATTATGACGTCATTCCACTAACCTGTGCTACCTGGGATAGTTATCTCAGGAACAAATTCAATTCATCATTCTAGAAAACTATAAATTGGCAACATACTATACAAGAATACAGCATATATATGGGGGTACTGCAATCTTTGATAGGGAAGGCATAAAATATAAGGTTTGTCAGGCATCCACTAAATTGAATAGCGAATTAGATTTTGAGGTAAGTTCTATAACTTTGAATGAATCAAAAATAGTCATTTGCTGTATGTACAGGTCACCAACAGGTGATTCACAGGTATTTCAGAATAAACTACGAGAATATCTAGATCAAATGCCAAAAGATAAAAATATAATTTTTTTTGGCTATTTGAATATAGACTGTGCTTCACAATCAACAGATTCTGAATTTCTGAAAAATCTCTTCATGACATATGGTATGAGTGACCTTGTTCAACATTATACAAGGATAAGTAGAACATCTTGCACTAGACTTGACAGTCTCTTCAGTAACATTGATCCAAACATGGCTAATGTGCAAGTAACCGAACCACATCTATCAGATCATCGAGCAGTCAATCTGAAATATGGAACAGAACAAGAATTATATAGCCCTAGAGGAGAACAAATATATGGAGTAGTCAATGATGACAACATCCAGAACTATAGAGAATCTCTGTTGAATATCAGTGACAATCCAAATAATACGTCAAATATACTGATGAATCACATCAAAGACAGCTATGATCAATGTATTTTATCGAAACAGAGAAGACCTAGGAAATCAAAATAAAACTCCGTTATCAACTTAATGTCCTCTATGAGCTGAGTAGAATGGAAAACGGTTATAGGCAAAGTTATGTAATGTGCAAAAAACAATATAAAAAGGCTGTGAATGTACAGATAGTCGAACAAAATACTCAAAAAATTGAAACTTCAAGCAATAAACAAAGAAGTGCATGGAAAATTGTAAATAGGAATCGTGAGATTAGTCAGAAACAAGACAAAATTGAAATTCCATCTGAAGAACTGAATACATTTTTCACAACTATTCCAGAACAAACTTTAGAAAAACATAACATATCTACCGTAAAATGATACATAGCAACATGAAGTAAGAAAGTTCTTCTATAATTCCGTACTGTCATACCATATTATATCTGAGTGGCTAATGAACGGCAAGCGATTTCCAAGAATGTGCAACCACTTATACGAAAACAAAAATTTAAAACAGTTGGTAACACGAGTCAACTGTGATCTAAAATCAGCTATTCTTTCGTTCGAATTTCAAAATAGAATAAACTTTGTATCGTTCGTGTTGAAAATATAAGATTCAAGTGCCAGTTTTCATATCAGCTGTAGTGAAATACATACTGCTCGAGTGAGTATACTCATACATGTTCCGATTGGGGATATCCATTAGACCATTATGATCTCAGAGAAATGGTTAAAAATGACTTAGATTCGAGAGGAAACAATCTTAACTGCATCCAAAAATAATATTCCAGGAAGATAATTCGCATTTTCTTTTATGAATAGACATGAAGATCGATTGAGAGATCGCATATGCCAGATCATCAAACGTACGCGTGCCGCAGTTTCACATGAAGTTATCAATAAATACTTCGACAATTTGCAGCAGGAGTTGAAGAGTGTACCAACT